AGGGATGGGGTGCCAGCAAACAGATGCCAGCCACCGCGTGGGTAAAAGGGAGAGAACAGAGCACCAGCTACCCAGGCTGGCAGGGGGCATTCGGCCCTGGGGGCCAGCTCCCAGAGGTGGGCAGAGCCGACAGAACACCAGGCCCAAGCAGCCACCGAAATGCCATAGGAACAGCCTGGCTACTCGTGTCTGCCAGCTGCGTCTCAGGAGGTCCCATCCCTCCCCACCCATGTTCCCTGTACGCTAAGCGCTTGGGCAGCCCCCCGGGAGAGATTCAGGTGCCGCCCAGTTGCTTGCCGGCAGCATGGTGGTGCACATCTGCACATGCCCGGGCGCACCTAACAAAATGTGTTCCGCACATGGAAGGGGAAAAATGGAAGGACTATTGCTCCCCGTCCTCTCCCTCTGCCCTCTCCTGTCACTGGAAGCTGCTCACTCGCTCCCATAATGCCATCTAATCACATGTCGCGTTGCGACCGCACGTCACTCCCGGTTGCGCTGGAATGGAAGACGTGAAGCGTGGCGGCGGCAGGCCTCAAGCCGCAGAGCGGTTAAACACGTGACGACATTTGGGCTCCGGCGGCAGCCTGAGCGCCACGACCCTCCCTCCCCCCAGGCTCCTGAAACACACTTGAGGACAAGACCCCCTCGTGCCTTTCCACACGTGGGCCTACGTGAGGGGTTCGCACACGGCTGCACAAACCAGCCGACCTCCCCCACCCCCGCGATAACATAATGGGCTAGTGAGTCTCCAGCGGTAAAACCCCCCCGGGGAGGAAAGAAAGAGGAAGGGAGCTCAGGGGCAGGGGAGCCGAGAGTTTTCCCCACAGGTGGCCCCGGCCCTTTTAGGGGCCCAGCAGCCCCGAGCCTCCTGAAATCACCAGGCCCTGAGGCATCTGCTCCCCTTGTTGCCCCCAGCAACGGGCCTGCTCAGGTCGCGTTAGCCTGGTGTATCCCGGTCTCTGTCTGGGCCCCCACCTCCACCCCGTGCTGCTCCACCCACGGCCGGGCCAGGGCACGTCTGCCGCCCAGGCGTCCCTTTCCGGGCAGACCAGGGAGATCAGCCCCAAAGAAGAACCCGTCCCCACTGGACAGCAGGATCAGTGTGGAAGAAAGTGGCACAGAGCAAGGAAGGGGGGGTTATGTTGGGTAAACTGAACTCCCCCACCTCTGCGCGGAACAGAGGGGGCCAACAGGGGAACCCAGGGGTGGGCAATAATTTTCACAGGAGGGCCACTTCATTAATTTTGGTATGTGGTCACGGCCCAGGCCGGAGGCAGAAGCAGTGGAGCTGAGAACTAGCCTCCCCCAGAGTTGTCTGCAGTTGGAGACTTTGACTGAAAAACCACAGTCTCGCCACTGCCACATTGCCTGCAGCCACCCAGGGTTGCTGTGACTATTTAAAGGGCTCACAGCTCTGACCATGACTGGGAGCCATGAGCCATTTAAATAGGATCCTGCTGCCTGAGTCACCGCCTGGAAATTCAGTGGCACGGGCAACAGGATATAAATAGAAAGCAGCCAGATTCAATCCGCAAGCCAGATCAAAGTGTTAGGTGGGCCAGATCCGTCCCCCAGGCTGCATCTTGTTCAGCCTTGGGCAGTTGCAGCTATTTAAAGGGCTCCTGGCTCCAGCCCCTTCCTGAGCCATTTAAACAGGATCCCGCTGCCTGAGCCACTGCCTGGAAATTCGATGGCACAGGCAGGGGGGTGCGC